ACTCGTGCAGGTGCCGAGGCTGGCCAAAGTGCAGCTGAGGTATCTGAGGCCGACCGAGGTGGAGCCAAGCGAGCCGAGGGCTAGCCGGCCCGAGCCGTGTTTTAATAACTGATGGACCAGACAACATTTTAATTATTTTGGCACAAAACTAAGCGCAAATCAGTGAAAATCCTTAGCAGGCAAAAGTTCGCTGGACGGAACTGGACAAAACGCATGATCGTACCAGCTGGCCTGGTGCGTGCCACTATTCATTTCCATGAGAGCGCCGTGGCGTGGCGGAGTACAAAACCTCCGTTCGTCTAGCTAGGCCCACATTCCAATTCTTTCCATGGGCCGGATTAAAACCAGCCGCGGCCCGTTGGTTACTACCTGTGGTGTAAAGCAACAATCCATTCATGCAGTTAATGACCTGATTATTTTAAATTCGTGCAAAAACGCATTTTCGCACCATTAGCCTGGTGCACTGCAACTTGAATTTGTATTCATTTGCAGGATCAGCTTTGCAATGTTTCGCAAACATTACTGCGAATTATCTGTCATGGCGGATACAAGCACGTTCTGGGATTGGAGACATCTAAAGCAGGTTTGTTTCGTGGAAGTATTGCTATGTTTCTTTTGTGGAAAAGTAGTTTCATAAACTAAATGGTAAAAAGGTGACATTTTTAACATTTCTGTATCGGTTTTCAGTATCTAGCAAACTGTCTTTCGAAATTCTATGGCTAATTATAAAATAGAGCATAACAGGGAAAACGAGGTCTGGTAATTGGAGGCGACCACCTGATCCTCATCTTCATGTAAGTGCTGAACTATGATGCATGTTCGGGATGAGCGTACCATGTATTTTAATCTCCAGATCTACGAAGCTATGCAGATGAAATTTTGGTAACTTCATACACCATTACGAATGGGTCCCGTGGCATAAAACAAACAAACTTTCACGTACAGACACATAAAAAGTATTTTGGTGAAAGGGAGGGGTAGTGGATGATTTCGGGGGCTGAACAAGATAGAAAGAGCTTCGTAAAGATACTCTCTATCTATATGTAACTAAAGACTTTAAATCCAATCGTCACGTACGCCTACCTCACGCATACTGGCACGTCAGGTTTGAGTCTGTAATACTGGCAGTGATATGCCATTTCGTGCTGAATTTCTACAATTTCCCTGGCCGTGAATGAATCCGAATACACAG